TCTGCATAAAATGAAACTGTAAGTAAATAAGTGAATAATGATTTTAATTATAATAATAATGGTGATGGTAATAATAATGATAATGACAATAATTGTAATGATTGTGACAGTGCCAATGATAATATTAATGGTAATGATACAAGTAATGATAATAAAAGTTATAATAATAATAAATTTGATAATCATTGATCATAATTTCGAGACTGAGCTTTTGGAAGCTAACCCAGGTTCTGCCCGGCCTTTCTCGCTTCGAAGCCCGCGAGCCACTCGGCTTCGCTCGCTCGCGTCGGTTCAAGGGCTGCGTGGGGGCGACACGCGGTTCTTTTCATTGTTGTTGTAGTTGGTGGTGGTGGAGGTGGTGGTGTTTATTATTGCAGGTATCATTATGATTATTTCGTGTATCATTTTCTGTGGTCATGTTTTCTCTTTTCTCTAATGTGTATGTTTGTTCTCTCTATCTTCCCCATCTCTCTCTCTCTCTCTCTCTCTCTCTCTCTCTCTCTCTCTCTCTCTCTCTCTCTCTCTCTCTCTCTCTCTCTCTCTCTCTCTCTCTCTCCTTCTCTTTCCTCCCTCCCCCTTTCTGCTCGAAGCGTTGTCTTCAGCCATCCGTTATAAAATTACGAAATCATTGCAGTGTTGTTCGCAGGTTGCTTAAAAAAAAAATCTTTGGAGTTTTATATTGATGATAATTATTTCAAATGGTAGTTGATTTTTTCTTGATGTTTTTTTCATGGAGCGTGTAGTAGAGATTATATATCCTGTGTTGTCTTATTTTATGATGGAATCCTGTGGTATTTGAATGGATCCACATTTCTTACTATTGTCTTTCTTCTTGGAAACTGCAATATGCGACCTCCAACCTCCATCTGTCTGCCTGTCCAGCTGTCTAGCTACTTCTCTCCTTATTTATATGTATAGAAGACGTATTTTCACACACACACACACACACACACACACACACACACACACACACACACACACACACACACACACACACACACACACACACACACACACACACACACACACACACACCGCAAACACAGCCGAACACCTTAACGGGACACACTTCATAGGCAGTTCACTAAAAACGCTCATCTCGATCAGTTTTATTTCGCTATAATTCTTCCTGAAGTATCATATGGTGTCAGGAGTTTCATTTGAAGGTTGAAAGATGTATCTGTGCATTATTATTGGTCTTGGGATTTGGAAAGAGAAAGAGGGGAGAGGGAGAGAAGGAGATGAAGAGAGAGGGGGAGGAGGGAGATCGAGAGGGATGAGAGAGAAAGGGTGAAAGAGAGAATGAGTTGAAAACACGGGTAGAAGTGAGAGTCTAGGCTATTCAAAAGTAAGAGCAGCAGCCGTACGTTCCGTTCTAGAGGGAGATTCAGAGCGAGGCACGAAGCACAAGGGACGGTCCCTCAAAACAAACAAAAAGTCAAAACAGCCGACCAGACAAGAGCGCTCCTACCCCCCCTCTACTCCCCCCTCCACCAGGGTCGAGTCCTTTAATGAAGCAACATATCTCTCATGAACAACTTCGGATGTAACGATCCTCTGGACTTAACGATTTTCTGTAGACTTACGGAAGCACAAAAAGGACCACCTTGGATATACCGAATTATTCAAAAGAACCAACTATGATACAACTAATTTGGATCTAACGAACAAAGCGGTGACTCTTTAATTTATTGAAGCAAATGACTTCTTTATTGAATTCATTTTGCACGTAACGACCCAAAGGGCCCTTTTAGCCCGACTTCTTCAGACTTTCAGCAACCAGTACATTCCTCGTGTACATTTTCTCTAAATTGCTGAACCAAGACAAAGCTTTGGATGATCCCGATCGGTCTTGTGAACCAAAGTACCCTCTCGGAAATCTCCTTGGAACCAAATGCGCGATTTCTTTGAGCCTGTCGAAAAGAACAGAGAATAGACTTATAGCCTACTTCTTTGTTTACAGAAAATCGTAGCACTTTTCTGTAACACTTTTCGTAACATTGGGACGAATCCTAAATGTCTAGTGAACCAGAAATATGTTAAAGACGACCTCATATCAATCCTGAAGCACTTTTCCCCCACCTTGCTCGCTGTTGCCGTGGTGGGCTTAGGAGACCTTGGACCTCAGCCCTCGCCTCAACACATTTTGCATGGCCTTTTCTCTTCCTTTCCTTCGCGTCTTCATCCCATTCTTCTGTCCACTTATCCTTAATCGTTATCTCATTTTACCCTTTTCGCCGCAATCATTTATCATAATGCTATACTTGGAGGCCTCGCCCCCAAGCCCTACCTTATCGCCGTATTTTAAGTACGACACTTGTGTCGTACTTAAAATAGCTAACCAATGCAGGGAAATTGTACTTAAATTAGGCGATAAGGTGGGGCTTGGGGGCGAGGCCTGCAAGTATAGCATAGTATAGCGTAGAATGTTGACGTGTCATAATTTTTTCAATAAATAAATAAAGACCTTGTTGAACGAATCTTTCGAACCCATTTTGGATCCCTCTTTAATGACACTTTTCGAGCTAATGGACTGAAACCACCCTCTGAACATAACAGTCCAACCGATCCGTTTTTACCAACTCTTCCACCCACCGTTTCTAAACATAACGAACCCAAAGACCCATTTTGAACTACTCTTTAGTTCTTGACGAAAGCGCTGAGACCCCATTAGACGGCCCTTCTGCACTCCTGGTTTTACGGGAGTGCACGGGGAAGCGACTGTAAACTCGGGTTCGGAGGCTCATCTTCGTCGGATCTCGAGAGATTTCGACTACACGGGTGTGAGGCCGAGTGGGAGGCGCCTGGGCAGGAGGGCCAACGGGGAGGGTCGGTTAGGCTGGCGTAACGCTGAAGGGAAGGGGGCGGGAGGGAATAGGAAATAGGAAGGGAAGGTGGGAAGTGCGGAATATGAGAGGGGAGGAATGAAGAAGAGGGAGAAGAAGAATAGAAAGCGGGGAGGAAAGAAAGAGGGAAGAGGGGAAGGGGGGAGTTTGTCTCGCCCTTTTAGAAGCTGTGACTCTCAGGATGATAATATACACGATTAGATGAAATTATATTACAAAGTGATAAAGTTCAAAATAGGCCATTAAGACAAGAAAACCTTAAGGTGATGAAATAAAAATAATCATTTGTTCATGGATTTTTTTCCTCGACTCCCTTGCGTTCGAATCTAACCTAAAACCCAACCTAACCAATGCAGGGGAATTGAGTTACCGATGCGTGCTTTCTGTCTGCACTTAAGTTTCTGTTATGGGTATTTATGTGTTTCCTTTTTGGATTTGAATTAATTGCAAATCACGAATTATTGTTGGTATCTCTTTGTTGATATCTTGATATGTATTTACTTGTTGAATTATCTATTTGAAGCCATTTTGAAGGAAGTTGAATAACACTTTACGTGTATATATATTTTTGAGTAAGTTCGGCGGTCAGCGCAGGCGAAAAGGACGACGGAGGTTCTATCTCCGCCCTTCGCCCCCATCCGGGGCTCGGGACGACCACGTCTCGGGGAAAACGTCCCTTGAGTGTCTGTCGGATCACCCATCCTGGTTGTGTCTGCCGTCTTTCTCTTCTGTCGGCCTGTCTGTCTGTCTACCTTTAGGCTTGTCTGTCTCTCTGTATGTCTGTCTATCTGTATGTATGTATGTATGTCTCTCTGTCTGGCTCTGTCTGTCTGCCTATCTGTCTTGGAGGAAGGAAAGGACTGAAGGAAAAAAAAACAAGGAATGTTCTACCTCAAGTCCTCTGCTGTGATATCGTAATTGAGTCATGTATGTCATTTGCTCAGAAAGGTCCCGAAGGCATGACTGTTCTTGAATTTCTTTCTCTCTCTCTCTCTCTATCTATCTATCTATCTACTCCTAGACTTAATTTTCAAAGCTTCAAAAGAAAACACTATGATGGGGATTTATCCGTGCATTAACTATACAAATTCTCGCTGTATATTATGCATGTCGGTCCGTTCTCGGAAAATAGGCGTGGGTTCCTTGCCGTCAATGTGTCGTGTGTTTTCCTTTCAGGTTTTGATAAACACTTTTAGTTATTGAATCCCTTCTCTTAAATGTCTTTCTCCAAGTCATACCACAGATAGCAGGGAGTAAAATCGAATAAAACCCACGAAATGGCATCCTGAGACCCAGCCTTTATCTGAATTCAAATCAATGCTGAGAGAAAAAAAGGACGATAAAATAAATAGATAAATAAAACCTGAAGACAATGTATTCTCAACAACTAACAAAACATTTTTCCTTGTCGCGCAGGTGCTGTCCCTGCGAGTCGCGTGAGTCACCGGCGCTGGGAGACGGCGGACGCCAAGGATACCCAGCAAGGCCCACCGAGGAGGCCCTCAGTGTCTGCTCGCGGCGCCGCCTGTGAGCATCGCTGCTTCCGAGGCGAGGGGGAGCCTGAAGGAGGCGAGGAGGAGGAATCCAAGGAAGGAACGGGATGGACAGGGCGGTCGGCGCGTGAATGTCCAGGCGGGTCCACTCGTAGGCACGAGAGCTGCTCGAGCGCCGCCTCCTCTCGACGGCCGCCCGACGGTGACGCGCAGGGGACGCCGGGCCCGGCAAGGTCAAATTGCACCTCGGTCGCACATCCGCGTGCGCACGCGCGGACGCTCCCTCGTAGGGACAGAGGACAGTCCCGAGGAATGCACGGCAACGGTCGCAGCGCAGAGGAGCGGCGGACGGAGCGCCGGTGATGCTGGCGGCGTGAGGGAGAACGGACGGCGAGCGAGCGCCCTGCACGCGCGCGCAGCGAGAGAGAGCCTCGCGACTGAGCCCAGGAACACGCGCAGGTGGCAGAGAGCAGCTGAAGGAGAAGTTGAAGGAGAGCCCTACGCCCGCACGTGGAGGCCAGCCTTCAGCACCGGCGGAGTGACGCGGACGCCGGCAGAAGGGCGTGAGATCCCGCCGGGAGCAGAGCGCCCGCGGGGGAGGATGGTGCGGCCGCATAAAGCCATCGCCGCCCACGCCCGCGTCTAGTGCAGCAGCGCCACCATGTCCAGCTCGCACTCGTCTGGGTCGTCCAGCGGGCGGCTCTCGGGGGCGTCGCCCCACCCGCCGCCCATGCTTGGCGCCTCCCTGACGCCCAAGAGCCTGCTCAAACGATGCAAGCTACCCACTGCGGCTCACCTCCACACGCCCGCCGCGCCCACGGGCCTGGACCTCTCACGCCCACTCCTGCTCTACCAGAACTACACGTCAACCAAGGTAAGGACACGTTCGGCCGTTGGCCGAAGGCATTGCGGCGCTGGTGCCATTGCCACCGTTGCCACCGTCACCATTACAGCATCCCCATTGCCACTATCACCGCTGGCATCACCGCCACTGTCACCAGCTTCCTTTGTGACTTCAAACCCTCGTGTCGACGGCTCTCGTCCCGAGTTTGCTTTGTCGAATTATCATTACGACAGAAAAAGCAATAATAGTATTGATAGATAATAAAATATATAGATCTTGAGGTAGGTAAGTTCTGTTCCAAGGACAGTGACATTTTCTTTTAGGATTGCCCATATGACTTGATTCTGAGTAAACCCAGTGCCATGGTTTAGGTTTCTTAAAGTATACATGCGTGAGAGAGAGAGAGAGAGAGAGAGAGGGAGAGAGAGAGAGAGAGAGAGAGAGAGAGAGAGAGAGAGAGAGAGAGAGAGAGAGAGAGAGAGAGAGAGAGAGAGAGAGAGTATGACGGACAGTCCAAGAGCACTCCTGCCTTAAGGATAATCTGAATAGCTGACAAGCATGACACAACAGCGGGGTGACAAGAGAGGACTTAAGGTCATCCCCCGCCCTCTACTTAGTTCTTTACTATTGTTTTCTTTGTCTTTAATTTTTCATCATTACTATTTTTGCCGTCAGTAAATCACCACCATCATTATTATCTTCATCCTCGTCAATATGATATTCCTTTTCATTTTCATCATTATCATCACCATGGCCACCACCATCACCATCATCATCACCATTACCACCACTACCATCATCATCACCACCATCATCCCCATCATCGTCGTCATCATCACCATAATTATCGCCATCACCACCACCGAGGCATCGTCGTTATCCGACCCTGTTCCTTCCAGGTCCGCGGCGTGTCCCTCCGGCCGGGTCGCGACGGCGCCCTCACCCCCGTCGGCCCGGCCATCGTCATCCCAGACTCCTACACAGGTTAGACAGATTACTCCATTACGCAACTCCTTTTCGCTCGTGTTTCTTCTTGTTTGCCTACCCCTCATTTCCCGGTGTTTTTTTCTCTTTCTTTCCATTTATTTTGTTTTTCCTCCTGTCCTCCTTCCTCCCACCTCTCCCCTTTTCCTCGGTCGATTTGCACTTCTCCGCCTCTTTCCCATTTTCTCTTCTCCCCCTTCCTGCATTTCCCACCTGCGGTACTTTTCCTCTATGTCTCTTGTCCACCCCCCCACCCCACCCCCCTAGTTTACTCTGCTATATCGCTTACCTTCTTCTTCCCTTCCTCTCTACCCCTGTCCTCCTCTTTCTGACAATTCTTCTTACGCCCCCTCTCCCTTCCCCTCTCCGTCTCCTGCCTTCTCCCTCTTCTTCCCCCTTTATCCCCCTCCTCCTCTCTTCCCACCTTACCCCCCCCCCCCTTCCACCCTCCCACCTCGCGTAACGGTGCACTCGCAGGCGGCGGATTAAGATATGCATCTGAAGCAGAGAGTTTTATGTGGCCGCGACGAGCAGATCGAGTCCGACTTTGCAGATCGGTTTTGGGAGATTAAATCCGACCTTGAATTTTATATGTCTGAACGTTGGCCGAGAGAGAGAGAGAGAGAGAGAGAGAGAGAGAGAGAGAGAGAGAGAGAGAGAGAGAGAGAGAGAGAGAGAGAGAGAGCGAGAGAGAGAGAGAGCGAGAGAGAGAGCGAAGCAGAGCCTCACTCCCCCTCCCGCGCCCCCAGGCTGGTTCGCCATCGTGACGAGCGAGGGCCAGACGGCGCCCTTCTTCTCGTCGGTGGAGCAGGTCGCCACCAGCAAGGTCTCCTTCTTCCTCACCAGATACGACGTGCCCGCCTACACCAACCTCAAGGATGGTGAGACTCTGCCGTGGATTTTTATATTTTCGAAGTTCTTCGCTTGGTATTCTACTGCCTTTTTTGTTTTTGTTCTTGTTGCTTTAATTTACTATTTTTAGTATTACTATTTACTAGTTTGCTACCATTAACAAATCTCCCAAGAGTTTTCAATTTGTTCCTTTATTTTACGACTACTATGAAGTCATCACAGAGATTAAAGACTAATTTCCTTTTGTCATTTTCATCACATCCCCATTCTTACTACCATTGGATGTCATTCTTAATAAATTCCCCCTAATTTGGTCTTAACACACGCGCGTCTTCACTGTTCATTTTGGCAAGTCTCCCCCTCAACCACAGAAAACGGGCGCATGACCTACCAGAAAACAGTGGTCCAAAGTGGCCACGTGCTAAAGCTGCTGGGCATCTTCGAGGACCTCAACGCCCGGAGAACCAACAGCTCTGGACGAGGGCGCGATGCCGGCCCCGTCTATGTGTGTGATAAATATGCACAGTGCCTCAACTATAGAAACGAGGTAGGCTTAACGTCTTGATTCGATTTCATTTTGGGGTATATGTTTTCTTTTTGCGTCATTTTTGTTGCCGAGTTTTCTCTCAACCAACTAATAGCTAATGATTACCATTTTGTTCTCACTTTTTTCTTCGATACACTGTATATAGTTTAATTAACCAACATTTTACAAATGTACTTCCCTTCTGCCTATTTTGAAACGAACGCGCTGACTGCGTCGCCTTTTGCAGGTGGTGTTCCTTCCGTTCTCGGCGTCGGGGCGCTTCTACACGACGGCGCACAAGACGAGCAAGAACCCCAACCACGTGTACCTAATGGCGCACATCCTTAAGAACCACAAGCTGCCCCTCACCGTCAGGCTCGTGTGCGGCTTCATGCCCCGTGTCCCGTGCAACTTCACCGGTGAGTCGCGTGTTTGCTGGATATCCTTCGTCACTGTGCTTTAGAGTGTGGGATGAAGGGAGGCATCTTCTCTCTGGTTACTGAAATCTTATCTTTAGCTTCAGCGGCAAGGAAAGTTCTTTGCTTGTATTTATTTCTACATCTCTCAGCATATAACATAAGGGTGATTTGTTCATAAAAGTAATAACAGCTTAACTGATAGGTAAACGATGTGCAACTTTCTGTCTAACATGTGTTCGGTAACAGATTACGTCCTGTATTGTAAGATGTTTAATAACACCATAATAATTACAAGACATGTTTCTTCACCTATCGTGATTCTGCTAACGGTGAGTCACAAATTTAGTTCAGCTTCAACTACGTTACAGTTTTATCGCATCGCCTGTAATCCTTTCCGGGCCCAAGTCATGACAGGATTTGTGTTTGTATTAATGGGTGGTGTCCTCCTTCAGGAGTGCTGCGACTGGAGGACGCGGAGAAGGAGGCTGTCATCCTCGCGTGCACGATGACCAACGAGGCTCGAGCGACCCTGTTCGAGATCGACGTGGCGTCCAACTTCGTCCTGACGCCCGTGAAGGACCCGCTGTTCCCCAAGTCGCCCATCTTCCTCAAGACCGTCTCCTACTGCGAGGACGAGGCTGAACCGTGGCGGCGACAGATCAAGGTCGGGCGCTGCTTAAGATATGATTTTTTTTTAATCGTGTTTGCAATCCTCATTTCAGATTTCAATTTATTTGACGATTTTTACATGGCATAAATTATCTAACGTTTTTGCTTCCCCTCAGGTCACGCATCACGTGACCGAGAAGAGGTCGCGGTCCCTGAGTCGCTCGCTGAGCGACAAGTTCGTGGAGCAGCCGCGGCCGGCCGGCTTCGCCTTCCTGGCCGACGTCGAGAAGAGGAAGAACCGAGGCCGAGAGAAGTCGCGGGACCGCCTGGCCGTCCGCCTCGGCGAGAGGGCGCGCGACAAGAGCCGGGACAACATTCTTCGGAGCCGCAGCAAGGAGACGCTGCTCGACCACAGCCCCAGCAAGATCAACTGCAAAGGCCAAGATCAGAGGAAGCTGTCCAAGCAGAACACGTACATCTTCCAGAACGGACGCAGCCCGCGGACGCAGCAGAAGAAGCAGGAGGCCGACGCCGTCCGCAGACTCAACCGATCTATCGAGAACCTGGACTACTCGAGGGTCGCGGATGACATCAGCCCCGTGCACGAGGCGGAGGAGGACGAGGACGAGGAGGCGCACTACACCGAGATCTGCGAGTACATCCTCAACAGGAAGTCCCCGCTGAAGAACGAGAGGCCGGGGCGCCAGCGGTCCGCCGACAAAGAGAACGGGACTCGCAGGGCAACAGGGCGCGGCCCGGAGAACAACCTGAGCTTCACTCTTCTCAAGAAGGACATCGGCGGATACTACGTCAAGATCCCGGGCTTCGAGGTGCCGAAGGAGGAGCTGGACCAAGGGCTCTCGCCGGAGCCCAGCAAAGGAAGCGACTCGCTGTGCTGATCGCCAAGGAGGCTGATGCTCCTGTTGCCGGGGACATCGGATGTGCTGCGGGAATTCCATATCAAAGCACGAGTAGTGTGAGCCAAGGACAGATATCCAGATCATGGCAACGGAATGGAAAAAGAACTTATTCAGAGACAACACAGAGTAATAGGTGGCTCGAAAAGTGGCAAATATGTATGTGTGTGTGTGTGTGTGTGTGTGTGTGTGTGTGTGTGTGTGTGTGTGTGTGTGTGTGTGTGTGTGTGTGTGTGTGTGTGTGTGTGTGTGTGTGTGTGTGTGTGTGTGTGTGTGTGTGTGTGTGTGTGTGTGTACACTGAATCGTGCAATTTAGCGTTGAAAAGGTGATAATGGTGGATTCTAAGATTCCTTAGTGGCAGAAACTTTCGAGTGTGAAAACTATACATTTTCCTCAATGGTGCTCACAACACTCAGTCTAACTCCGACTTACTGGCAGATAAATCAGTGGTCGTCGAATCTTTCACGGCTGCCAGAGGGTCGTTATTTTCGCCCCTTAGTTCGGTACAACGGTTGAAAGTATTACTGTATTTCTATAAAGGCAACAAGACATGGAAGAGTGGCGTGCCTTGTGTGTGAAATGTGAAAGGATATCTGACTGATACTAGTAGTATTTTTTCCATTAAAAATAATCATGAAACGTTTCGAAAACTGTGTATGATTGCGAAATTCGTCTAGTCACTGGTATTGTTTTTGTTAACCTTTTCGTTATTTCTGGATTAAATTCGCTAGCAAAAATACTAGCAAGATATGTTCATAAATTGAAGCTGCTGAAAAAAATAGATTAGTACCTGCTATCATTCCCATGATACCCAGCGTGAATCACATGCAGAACGTGGGTTCAGTGTATTCGAAAAAGAAGCATCTAAAGTCTTGGGGAAGGTACTTTTATTGTTAGGCTGTATGATAATCAGTATGTTTATTGGCATCGCAAGCTGATATACGGAAAATATATTTTTTTTCTTATTGTGAATGCCAACTGACTGCAAATGACTTGCCAGTGTATTTTATATTGAGAAACTGGCTTATTTTTTATCTTGTCTGTGTATGAATGTTACGGTGAGTGATGTTTTTAATAACACGACGCTGTTATACAGCTTGTATTTGATGCCCAAGAGTATAATTCTTGGGCCGTATAACTGACTGATAACTTTTTGTACAGTATTACTCATATATATGAAGAACATGTATTTTGTGTACTTTTATATACATAAAGACTGTCACATAATGCAGGACTCCAGTCGTGTACAGCAATATACCAATTCTGTACTTTCCAATAATTATAGGCGTGAATAATTTGACATTTCTTTAAAAGTGCATTGATTGAATAAAAAGCTGGGAGAAGACGTCGGGTTCAAATGACATTCTCAGAATATTTGAGACTCACCGTGTTAATTCTGTTAAAATTTGGTATGAAACACATTGTAAAATTAATACATATCAGTGTTTAAATTAAATTCTCTTTAAGAATACCAGTTTCTCTTTTGTTCCTTTGGATGACAAAAAATACATATATGTTGAAATACATATTTTTATTTCGTCATATGTGAATACAGTACGAAATATATGACAGTATAAAAAAAACATGACAGCAAGCCATCAAAATACAGAGGATGGGCTACAGAGACATTTATACAAGAATTCCTATACAGGGATGTTTCCTGGCGTGAAGGCTCGACCTCGCTCCTGACCTTTCGAGCATTCCTTCGAAACCACTTTTTCTTTCTCTGATTCCAATCGACGCAACAACTCATTTGATTATATGATGATATTCATCCTTCGTTCAGTGGGTGCAGTGCGACGCAATCGTCTTTTTTTACCTTTTTTGAAGGTTTAATTAGATTTATTGCCAAAACTTATCTTTGATATGATTGTGCTGTGCAAGGGTTGGGGGAGTAATGTAGATTTCCTAAACATTATATAGTACAAGAATATGCGATCTTTTATAAAAAATAAGGAGGGAAAAAGTTCACACTCTCATATGCTTATTAAGAATAAATATATTCGTTTATGGATATTCACTATAATGGGAAAAATATGTAAAGGCCCTTTTAGCTCGAACAGCTATCATCACAGGATTACACTCATACCGAAGAAAGGTCTGAACAAATTACAGAGATCGCGGCGAAAAAGACAGCAAATCATAAAGAGTGGGTGTTTGCCCGAACACCAAGCTGCATTCTGATTGGCCGCGAGAAAATCACAACTTCGAGTGCTGATTGGCTGTGCAAACTCGCCTCTCGACGTTGATTGGCTGCCTCGGAATGATAATTTCCCATCTAATTGCCCAAACTCGAGACAAGTTTTTGTCAGTGTTGTACCCAGGAGCAACAAGAGACGTGTCTGTGTTGTTCGGCACGTGTCTGCAGCGATAGTCCGTGGGCGGGACAGTTCGTGGGGTCATTGTCGGCGATCTGACTAGAGATTCAGGACGGGACTGAGAGCATCACGTTTGCTCTTTTTCTAATCTGCATTTGCTTCTCGTTCATCTTTGTATTATAGTTTAAATTGTTTCTTAGTTTTTTGGTTTGTTTTTATTATCATTACATGTCTTTTGCTTTTCAGTGTCTAAACCTCATGGGTCACTACACTGTAGTGTTGTTGTCGTTGTGTCTTTATTGAAATTATAAATTTACCTTCTTTTTCATCTAACATGAGTGCTTCATTACAAACTCGAGTGCATTTCATTTTCCTTCCATTTCCTTCATTAAAACGAACCGTTTCACTGCCTCATTCGCTGCTTCGAACGGATTTCGAACACACAATGCACAGATCCCACAGTGCGTACAGCACAAGTATCAATAAAACAGTTTCCAAAACACATTTGTTTCCTTTAAAGGGATTTGGGATTTATCACTGTTTATACAGACTGAATAACAGTATCTCAAACATCTTGCTTTCCTAAAGGCAGAATATAGGAATCACTTGTTCTTCCATGTCACGTTTCTTACTCACCTAAGATTTCATCACAGAAGGTACTGGTCTTTTGTTACATGTTTACGGACTGTTTTTTTTTCTCATAAATAAGTAGCGTAGAAGTACATTTACAGGAAAAGAGGCGTGTATATCTTTGCGCCTTGTTCTGAGTTTCTGCTGACAGTGAAGGTAATATACCTTATCAAATCCGTGATACATATACACGCACTCACGCACGCACGCACACATATCCATATAAACACATACAAACGCACTTTTAAATGTATACAGGCACGTATGTATGTAACTTTTTTTTTAAAGCACTGGGATATGCTCCAATATCGACCACATAAAACTCGAAACATAATGGAAAACTTTACACTGAAGGTTCAAGAGCAGGGTTTATCGTCACTGAGTCACCCTTTTCCCGGAGTCACAGCCACGAGTGTGTGCGATCTAGAGCGCCTGGATCGCACCACACGACAGGAAACGCAGTTATAAAGACAGGTAAATGTCTAGACTTTTTTTCCAGGAACAGAAAGTATTGCTTACATGCCACGGATAATTATGTACACAAACACATATGCTAGTTCATATAAGCGAAACTGAGATACAGAAATGTAAGACGGAATTTTCAACTCATTTAGGCGAGTGGAAGTTGAACTCGATTGTCATTAAGTCTGCGGATATAAAACGCCACAAATTTCTGTAACTTCAGTTTCCAAAGGGCGCACTTCACTTCTTAAAGGACTTTCAGACCATCCTAGCACACAGCATACGCGTCCTTGACTTGAGCACAGGGAGTCGTGTTAGCACAGGGAGTCGGCTGGAGGCGGGGACGCCTCTCAGCACATGGAGTCGTATCCGTTGACCTCGTCCCCGAGGACCGTCTTCCCGATTTCCTCCTGCGGGACCTCGAAGCCCTTCAGCTTCATGTAGTAGCCCCCTTTGCTGTTTCTGCTGATGGTGGAGAGCCTGTCGTCCTCCTGGTCCTTCACGACCACGCGAATGATGTACACTTCGTTCGCTTTGTCCTTCTCGAGCATGTCGCGGCCGCCCCGGGTCGAGCTCTTCTCCTCTCCGCGGCTGCCGTCGGCGGCGCTGACGTGGATGGTGGAGACGCCGATCTCGCTCGGCGGGATGTTCTCCTTGTAGTCGCCGCTCGCGCTCGAGAACTTCCTGCTCCTCGACTCCCTGTCGCTGAATGTCGCGCTCAGCCTGCCCGAAGCATCACTCGGGATGTGGTTCTCCTCCTCGAGCGTGAAGCTGAGGTTGGGGAG